GTTACAGGCCCAAACGTCAAGGCTGTGGCTACTGCTGTGGAACAGATTTACCCGTTCGTGTTTGAAAGCAGGAAAGAAATTTTGTAACTCGTCACTTAATTGGTTAGAATCCCTAACTGAGCACCTTTTAAAACCTGCTGCACATTGGACTCAAAACAGAAGGAGAACTGGACCAAGAGTAACTGAGGAAAGACTCTGAAGACCGCCATCGTTCACAGCTACAGTGTAAGCTCCGCCCGGTGGATCTTAGCTCAGACCTTGCTGTAATGTAAAAGGAAGTTTACAAGACGTGACGTTGCTGCTTTTACACGAGGACGTTCTATTTATTTTCGCAGGAATTCTCATGTCCCCATAGCAGAGCTGTCACAGTGTGCACTACCTTCGTTGTTTCGTTGTTGTCGTTATTTTTTCCCAGTTTGAGCTCATGTGTTTTATTTGTGAATAGCCTTTTACATTTTTGTATGCTGAATATGGGCACCAAAGAACCTGTAAAAGTTATCTTTTCAATTGAATGTGCACAAATAAAAGTTTGGAAAAGATCTCTCCTCATATCCATTCTGTAACTTTCATTCCTCATTTTCTATTTTAACAAGAATTGTATTCATAATTCTTTTTTTTTAATCTATGCAAGCTTAGACTTTTGCTAAAGTGCGTTGGCTTCTTTTTGAAGTGTATTTTGTACATAGATATATGCCACATGTGTATAGTATCTTTTAATGCTCTGTTACCAAATATCAAATAGAAGTTTTTTTCTCGCAGATTAGACATGAAAATGTGTATAGAAATTCTAGGGAACTGGAGTAGAACTTTATAGATTAAGCATAATGTTTTACGTTGCTAATTTAATATGATGGAAAATGTTAAATATCTTTTAAAAGTTACAAAATTGTAGTTTTAAAAGGAGAAACCTCTTACCTACGAGATGGATGTGAGGAAGAAGCTGTGCCGGGTTGTGCCTCGGATGCGCCTGTGTTGCTCTGGAAGGACTCAGCTCTGGTTGTAGGAAGGTCGTGATGTCAGGCTGGTGCTCAAGGCTCTAATATGCGCCTTGTCAGAAGCTGATGCATTGTGCTGTTTTACAAGAAGTGCCCACAAGCTGCCTCTGTGCCACAGGATAATTATAATAGAGTTCAACTTGAACTTGAAAGCCATTTTGCAAGATATGTCTTTCCCCTTGCTGTGTCTTATTTGATGGAGCTGTAGAGTGACTATTCGGTATATGGGATTGCTACTCCTAAGGTCATAAGAAACGTGCATTTGTGAAACAGCGCCTCTGGCCCACCCCCGAGCCCCGGAGTGGGAACGCAGGATCAGCCGCAGCTGTGCTCCGATGCGCATGTAGGAGGTTAGTGTCAGCGGCAGTGGTTTCACCGAGGAATAAAGCTGAGTGTAGAGTCGAGTTAGCTCTCAGTTAGGACTTAATGGAGACAGTGTTCCAACACAATCTTCCACTAATACCTGAATTCCCAAAAAGTTTGGAAACCTGTTGGAAAATTGCAACATCTTAACCTCCGTGTTCCAGCACTATTTCTGTTTTCCTTACCGTATTATAAAATCTTGAAACCTAGCCTAAGCACTGCACTGAACAGTACCTAATATTTTATGTTTGTTTTTATCTTCTTCTCGATGCCTTCCCCTCCCCCGCCTCTCACTCCCTCCTAAGTGAGGGGCAAAGGCGAACTTATATTTTCTTTCTTGTGAAAGACTTAATTGTGATTTTCAGACTTCTGTTCTTTTTTTACATTTGTGTTTATTAGCTTCATTTCAAGATCCAGTAGGATAGAGAATAAAATTCAGTGAAGTAGTTATAGGTACTAGGCAGACTGTTTTAAAAATTTGAGATTTTCCACTTAGTTTTAATTAACAGTAATAAGTGACCTCCTGTCTTGCAATGTTCACAAAGAAGAAATATAGAAAGGGGGCAGAAACATGATGATATGGCCGAGGTGCAGATCCAGATCTCGTACCAGGTAGATCAGGAGCTCAGCAAAATGCTTCCTCAGAACCGAGGAAGAAAGACAATCTGGTCTGGGTTCAGGGCTGCAGTGTGAGCATTGCGTGCAAAGGGTCGTTGGTGACCCCAAAACTTAAACCTGAGGAGAGAGGAGCATGTCGGGTGTTTTCTGCTGGCTTTTCACAAGTGCTGTAAATTTTTTATAAATAAAACTGTGAATATATACATACAAATTATAAGTATTTCCATTTTTTGTTTTTGAACTCAAAAAGCTCTGATTGGGAGTGTTTTGGGTTAAAATTAGTGTGAAGACAATTGTTTAGTTTTAGACTGAGGATAAAAGAAATATGAGTGTTGAAGACACTGAAATCATTACTGATAAACCTACTAGGTTTATAATCAATTTCCTGCCCATTTACAATGAATGACTAAGCCAAAAACTAGCTAAAGTGTATATAGTGTTTGAACTTCGAAGGAAATGTAACAATCTTCTTAAATACCTTACAATCTGTGATGCTTGGGAAAGAAAAAAATGCATATTGATTATCTGTCTTGATTTTTGTTTTTGAATCTCAGCATATAATTCTACCGACGATTTGTAATAAACTTCTAATCCTCTACAGAACACACTTTCTTTTCTCCTTCTAAAACCAACAAATGAACAGAAAACAATTCGTGCTCAGACTTGCTGAGGAAATGCACTGCGGCAGAACTACGATCTCAGATCTCCTCTCCTCGTAACTGCCCCACCGATTTCAGTCTAGACGGCACATTTCAGAGGCAAGACTGGTAGTCATTCTCCTGAGTCTCTGATGATAGTTTCACTGTTGCCTGCATAGACTGTAGTCTCATTACTCTGTCATAAGGAAATGTAGTGGGGCAGGCAGCCTTATATCAAACTGGGGCAGTTTGTTACTGGCTAATAGGAAAATTCCAAGCTAAAAAAGAAAGGATTTTTGACTCTTAGGATTCTCTTTTCTTCAGGTTAATCATATTTTTGTATCCTTTTTCAAGTTAAATTGTTCATAGTTTTAAGTTTGTGTGTCTTCCATAGCTTATAATGTTAGTGATCCGATGGGTTACTACTTAAGTGGTTTGAGATTCTTTATTGTAGATTTTTCGGTCATACCCAAATTCTATTGGTAAAATGCCTCAACAAGTCTGAAAATTCAGCTGGAGAAAGACGGAAGAGAGCAATGCCTTGAAAACCCGTGTCGGGTACAGCGGCCACCTCTGTTCCGTCATAGAGAACAACCCCGGGAGGGAGCTGTCCTGGTGACTGAATGTCATCTGTCACGTCTGCAGCTACCTAAAGTCAGCACCATGATGGCCTATGTGCCACACCTGAGGTGGAGACAGTCCTGAGGAGGCAAGGGCTGCAGGAGACTGGGTCGCTGTTGAGTTATTGTGAAAGCCTTGCAAAGAGAATTTTAGAAGCTTCATTTAACAGCTTAAACCTAATTGCTTAGAGATCTGTAAATAACTTAATGGCCTGCTCCTCTTTTAATGGTTTACTAACAGCTATTTCTAAATAAATATGGTCCCAGGATTTTGAAATTGCCTTTTCTATTCATATTTTTAAAAATGGATGGGGAAATACTTATTTCTCTCTGCTGTTTGCAGAATTGTTTCTTTTAATATTTTATAATACTAATATGAAATTCATAAAAGGATATTTTGCATTACATTGTAGTTCATAATTCATAAAATAAGCTGTGTCATCTTCATACTCGTTGAACTGTAATGAGGAGTTCACCTAGGATCCTCACCAGGAGCCTATCCTAACCTAGAAGGTGTGCGATTGTCCACACTGCCTCCTGATGCTTTTCTACACAAGACCTCGTGCAAGGAGCGTCTTAGTGGGCGAAAGCCGGGACGCTCGTGTTTGGAACACTCCTGTGTCTGAGTCATGAAGCTGCAGCTGGCCTCTGTCCACACAGACCTCAAGTAAAAGTTGATCGCATCGCTAGTTCATAGTCTTTCACAAGCTGCTCTGTGAAAAAGGCTGGAAATACTGCACCAGCCGGTATTTTTTTGGCCTGCTATCCTGCTCAGAGTAAGAAAGAGGTTACTTGGGACCCTGTACCTCGTCTACCTTTTGTGGTTCCTTTTAGGGGTGGGTGGAGATTAAAGATCGTCTTTGTAATTTCAGGGTGTTTCTTTAAAACTGGCTCCATTCCACTGAAGAGAGAGCACAGGCGCGGTCTGAGACACCCTTCCGCTCTGCTCTCAGCCTCCATCAACTCCGTGAGGTCCTCAGGGCGTTAGGTCTCTGGAGAAAGCTGCCCGGCTTGTCCCCTCTCACACAGCCTTTTACACTCCGAGAGCTGCTCCTGGGGTTTTCTCTCCTGAAGCTGTTTGGGCACTAATTCCTCTTGGTGATGACTCATAAAACAAATGTTGTTTTTCACATAGTTCCTGAAAGAGAAAGAAGCGCTAGAAAATATCATTCTTAGTTTACAGAACTTGAAAGAAATGTGCAGACTATTATTTTTTAAATTACCCTGTGGGGTAATGTTTTAGCTACGCAAAAAAGACATTTATTGCCAAGCCTTGGTTCCTCGTGAAATTCAGGATACGCCAGCACTTTGTCAGTGTCATGAGGGTCAGCTGGGGGTCTCCCCAGAACACGGCCGCGGCATTCCTGTCTGCAGGGAACAGGTCCAAGGACAGTAGGATGTGAACCTAATGGCGATAACATCCCAGATCCTACTTCACTTTTTTCATTTCTTGAACTCTGCCAATATGCTATATTTATGTCTACGTTGTCTGCCTTCTGCATTATTCCCTTGCTCCTGCATTAGCAAATTCTTTTCTACAGGATTCTTCTTGTCAACATAAAAATATGTTCTAGTATCTTACGTTTACTTAAAAACAAGAGGAGGCCGTCTTTGAACCTCCCTCCCTTTCAAATATCTTTTCCTATAATTTAACCAGTTAGTCAGTGGCTGCAGCATGCCTGCTACTGTGGATAAAGACTCCTGCTTTCAAGGACGTTACCTTGTCCTAGAGGAGACCAGCACTGAACGAAGAGTATAATTGCAAGTCGTGAACGTGCTAATGAGGAAAGTAACAGGAAAGGAAGAGGACAAAGTTGAGGGGGACTCTGTCATATTGCGGGCATCTCTCAAGTGACGTTTGGGGGGCCTGCTCAGTGGCGCAGCGGTTAAGTGTACACGTTCTGCTTCGGTGGCCTGGGGTCCGCTGGTTGGGATCCCGGGTGCAGACAAGGCACTGCGTGGCAACCCATGCTGTGGTAGGCGTCCCACATATAAAATAGAGGAAGATGGGCACGGATGTTAGCTCAGGGTCCGCCTTCCTCAGAAAAAAAAGAGGCGGGTTGGCCGATGTTAGCTCAGGGCTAATCTTCCTCAGAAAAGAAAAAAAAAAAAAGCGACGTTTGATCAGACACTGGAATGAAGTGTGAAGAATTGCAAGTAAAGTGTGTTTACAGAGAGACCAGTGTGGCCAGAGTGTAGCCAGGACGTGGGTGACAGAGATGAGGTTGGAGGGGTGAGTAGCAGCCATAGTAAGAAGTTTGCATTCTGTTCAAAATGTAGTTTGAGCCATAGGATTTTGAGCTGAGGAATGACGGTCTTTAGATCACTCTACAGGACAGACTAGAGTGCAGAGCTGGAAGGCCAGTTTGGAGGTTAGCATCGTGCAGGTGAAAGATGGCGGCTTGGATGGAGAATGGTACTGTGGGAAGTGTCAGAGGCATGACACGTTTCATTAACAGAGCTGATGACGTACTGGTAGTGTAGATGCGGGGTGCAGGGGATAGCATGGGTGACTCCTGAGCTGCTGGCCTGAGGAACCCCCTTCTCAGCCCCCAGCAGGAGGCTTGTGGAGGAGTGTGTGTGTGTGTGTGTGTGTGTATGTGAATGAGACTGGGAGTCCGGAGGAGTGTGTGTGTGTGTGTGTGTATGTGAATGAGACTGGGAGTCCGGAGGTGTGTGTAGGTCATGTCAAGCTAGAGATGCCTGTGAGACGTTCCAACAGACAGTGTTAGGTAGGCAGGCAGATCTGGAATTGGAAAGCCAGGTAAAGGTCCCAGCCTGGAGATCCACTTTTGGGAATCGTCAACTTACGGGTGGCGTACAGAGCCGCGGGCATAGATCTCGGAAGTGAGTGTAGGCAGAGGAGAGATCTAAGGACCGAGTCCTGGGCACTACTGTATTCCAAGGGGTGGAGGAGGAGCAAGAGGAGGCCAAGGAGACCACGGAGTGACTGAGGGAGGAGGAAGAGCAGGGAAGCATGGTATTCCAGGACACAAGTGAAAGAAACGTGTTTGAAGATAGGAAGCATGAGGAACTGGCAAGTGCTGCTGGGAAGTCAAGTGATACGGGACGGAGGCCTGCGCCTGAGGTTTGATAACTTGAAAGTCATAAACCGCCTTCGGAGTAAGACAACGGGAAAGAACGCTTGAGTGGAGTGAGTTCAGAAAGACTGGAAGGTGAGGACATGGAGACCACAGACATGGAGCGCTCTAGAACGTGAAAGTCCTGGCAGGAAACGGGGCGTACCTGGAGGGCATCTGAGGTCTAGGGAGGCATTTTGTTTATGATGGGCAACAGTGCAGCTCGTGTGTGTGTGTGCCCACGTGCCTGGGGGCACAATGATAATCCCGTAGAAGGGGGATATTGATGCCATACTCGGTGCTCAAATGGAAGCACTGGCCTTTGCGACCAGGCAGAGGCTGTGGGCATGGACATGGGTAGGTGAGTAGATGACGTGGAGGATGAGGTGGTCTCTACTTCTGCTGTCTCAGTGACCTGAAAAAGCAAGATCAACAGAGCGTAGGGAAGTGGGAAGGAGCGCTGGAAGCTCGAGGGTGGTGCACGGTGTGCGGTACTCATCTTGGAGAGCAGGAGAGCCACCCGCTGGGGAGATGCAAGATGTTCCGGTAGGCCTGCTTGAGATTCATGTTCATCCCTTGAAACTAGTCCTGTCAGCATCGTCGTGTGTTTTCTTGAGCCATGTTTAGCTCCTCGGATGCAGGGATGAAATAAGCTAAGTCAAGTGGTTCAGTCAGAGTGAAGCCTTGCCTGAAGGGAGGGCTGGTGGTCCATGGAATCTGAGCAGATGAGTGAGGACGTGGGATGGCTACTCGATGGACTCCAGGTCCTGCTGTGGCTGGAGATTGTTGAGGTGCAGGCATGCGAGCCGGGACACAGAGTGCGCCCAGGGTGAGGGGGGCGCTGCGAATCAGCAGCGATTGGTGGTGGCAGTCTAGGGTGGGACCATCCCGTTTGCGCCCCCTCAGAGCCAAACTGGAATGAGTGGACTGTCGCTGATTCCTCACGAACTTCCACTCTCCCCTCAAACCTCTCCAGTCCCCGCTGGTCCTCTCACTCCACTGGGACCGCCTGACAAGCCTGGGGTCACCTCCCTCTTTGTGTGGCCCCGTGGCAGCACGCACCTTCATCCAGTCCCGCCTCCTTAGACACTTCTTTCAGTTTCAGTGCTACTGCCTGGCTCCCCCGCCTTACTGCTGCCTCCTCTCAGTCCTTTCTGACACTCCCTTTCCTCTGCCTCCTCTCTAAATGTCGGCGTCATCTTGGGCTCAGTCCTGGACCTCAGGACCGTCTCTCTGCTCTCTGACTAGGTGATCTCATCCAGTCCCATAAACTAAAGACCACTCACAAGCTGATGGCCTCCCAGACCTGACCCTAAGCCTCTGTCTCCAGAATTTCAGACATACGTATTCAGCTGCCGACTAGTAATGTATCTATCTGGTGTCTAATGGACATCTCAAAATTAATACATCTAAAACAGAACTCTCTAGTCTCCCCAGCCCTGGAACCTCGTCCTCTTCCAGGCTTCCTAACCTCACCATCTGTGCAGTCTCTTAAGCTAGAAATGTCAGCATCCAGACTGCTTCCTTGTCTTATTCCTATATTCAGTTCATTCACTCATCCATCCATTCCTTCATTCAATTATGAGCTTCAATTATATGTTAAGGAATTATTCCAAGTTCTGGGAAACAACAGTGAACAAAATATACAAAATTCCCTGCCATCAAGGAAGTTAAATGGAGTGAGAGGAGACAGACCATAAACCAAGTAAAATGCAGACAGTATCAGATGTGGAAAAAGGTGAAACAGGACAGTGGATGCAGAGTTGGGGACACGGTTGTGATTTTAAACAGGGAGACAGGAAAGTCTGAAGGAGGTAAAGCAGGAGAACAGGCAGATGTCTAGGGAAAGAGAATTCAAGATGGAAGGGGGTAAGTGCAAAGAGCTTGGGTCTTGCACGTGCCTGGTGCATCCGGGATGCAGCCACGAGGCCAGTGTGGCCGAGGAGAGGAAGAGGGAAGAGCAGAAGGGTATGCAGGGCCCTACGGGAGTCAAAAGGCTTTTATTCTGAGATGAGAGCCGCCAGAGGATTTGAGCAAAGGAGTGGCTTGATCTCATTTAAAGCGATCCCTGGCTGCTGTGTTGAGAGAAGACTGGAGGGGACAGAAGGTGAAATAAGGACCAGGCAGGTGGCTGTGACAATAAAAAGGAGAGAGATCGTGATGGCTAGGATCAGAGGGTAGCAGGGAAGGTAGTCAGCTCAGCATATGTTGAAATAAGCAAACACAGTTTTCTGATAGATGGAACTGTAGAGCGTAAGAGAGAGAGTGAGGGCAGACTCCAAGGCTTGTGGCCAGAGCAGCCATGATAAAGTGGACATCAGCTGGCATGGAAAAGCAAGTGGAGTAGGTCTGGGCAGCATCAGGGTTCGGTTTAGAACATGCAAGTTTGAGATATCTGTTAGACATGTGAAAAGAGAGGTCCAGCAAACAGTTGACAGACAAGCCTTGAATTCAGAAGAGATTGAACCCGGAGATGTAAATTTCGGAGTCAGGGCATAAAGATGGAATAAATGTGACCAGGAGCCAGGCAAGGAAAGGGTTACTGAGAATGTGATCGATAACTAATGTGGACTGTCAAATGTTTTCCAGATAAGGAGAAACTAAATGTTCTGTTTTTCAGAAATTGATGTCCCCTTCTTGCAAATGTTGCCATCTTACAGTGAAATTTACACGGTTGCAGCAAGACCCCTGCAAACTGCTCCAGCTCCAAATGTCCAAATGTTACCATGGACCTGTTATGTAGTGACATGTTACATTGAACTCATTATGTAATGGTATGTTGCATTGAACCTGTCATGTAATGGTACCTTGATTTTGTGGTGTAATGACCTGCACGTGCACCCTGATTGAGCTCAGTTGTTACAAAGTTGGTAACATATCCTCTGCACTCTTATGTATAAGGTCTACACTGGCACTAGGCTTGGGGAGAGACTGCTTTGGGAGCTATCCCCAGGGTTCTCCATTGCCTGTGCAAGCAATAAACCTTTTCTTCTCTTACTTCTGCCTTGGTTGTGCTTTTCTGCTCTGCACTCCCCAAGAGGCAAACCCCTTGAGTTCTGCTACGTAAACGCTGTAACTTTGTCTGAGAGCAACGAGCCAGTAAAGGGGCATAGAGAAGTGGCTGGAGGACTAAGCCCTAGGGCATGAAAACTTTAAGTTAGGAAGTAGGAAGATAGGATGGAACCAGCAGAAGATGCTGAGGAGGAGTGACTGGGAGGAGACAACCAATGTAGTCCCTGAGGGCAGAGAAGCAAGTATTTCAGGAAGGAGGGCATGCTTAGTCAGTCAAATGCTGGGGTCATCACTGAGCCAGCCATGAAGGGGAATGAGGATTTATCACTGGGCTTAGCAACCTGGAGGAGACTGGGATGTTAAAAAGAGCAATTTCAGTAGAGGAGTGGCCATAAAAGTCTCATTGGAGCAGGTTCCTGAGAGAATGGGAAGAGAGAAATTGAGGACAGTGAATCTAGACAAGTTTAGGAGAACTTTGCTATAAATGGTAGCAGACAAACAACAAAAGCTAGAAAGGAAAATGGAATCAAAGACCTTTATTTTTTTAAGAGGGAGAAAAAAATCACTCAAGGTTTGAATGCTGCTGAGTAGAGATCCAGGAAGGAGGTAAAATATGGATGATGCAGGCGTGCACAGGGAAAATTGTTGGAGAGCGTCCCAGAGAAGGGAAGGGATGGGGGTGTATTTGGATCAAGTACTGATGTGTAGGTTGATGTCAGAGATTATGGAAGCTCCCCTCTGACTGTGTCCATTTTCTCTGTGAAGTCAGAAGCAAGACCATCAGTGGGAGCGAGGAGGGCTAAGGAGGTGAGGAGGTTTCCAGAGAGAGAAGGTGGTGTTGAGCGCTGTCCAGGAGAGAGGCGGTTAATGGCCAGGGACACGTGTGACAGCCAGGCTGCATGGAGGGCCGCTGGAGGTCAGTGATCATGGTTTAAAATGAGACCCAACCCTGTGCTGGTGTGCCTCCTCAGCACGTTCAGCTGCGTGACTGCAGACGCTCACTTGACATGCCTTAAAAAGTAAATCAGATTGTGTCACTCCCCTGCTTCAAATACTTGAGTAACTTCCCATCACACTTGGAATGAAATCCCAACTCCCTCAGCTTGCAAAGCCCTGCACAACCGTCTACCTACTTTCTAACGGAATCTCAGATCCAAGTCCCCTGGTCACTTCCCGTTCCCAGAACGGGTCAGGCGCGTTTCTGATTCAACCTTTGCACTAGCTGTTCTCTTGGCCTGAATTGTTTTCCCCCCTATCTTTGTGGGGTTGGACTTTATCATCACCCAGATTTTATCTTAAATGTTACCTCTCAGAATGACCTCAGGTCAGCCAATCGAAAGCAGCCCCACCCCATCATTTACTATCTTATCAGCGCAGTGTCATTCTCAGGGCATTTGTTGCCTGACATGCTCTTGTAGCATCTGGTGCAGAGCAGATGCTGGGGAAATGTGTTGAAGAAATGAATCTGGATGAATGAATGAAGACATGGCCACCTAAAATTAACTGCAGCAAGTGAAAAATAATCTAAGCCTCAGAACAAAAATGTTTACAAAACATGACCTTGTTGCGTTTCTCTATTTGTTTCCACTTCAACTGGGGAAAAGAATCAGTCACAGCTGAAATAGCAAATATGGCAGATGTCCCATTTTGAGTTTGTAGCTGGCAGGGCAGAAGTTCAAAATAAGATCCTTTCAAATTACATGATTGCTGAAGTCTTTTCTGACCTCTCCGCTCAGTCACTGTTTAGTTTATAAGAAGCTTAACCACCTTGGAAGAATGTTTGTTGTCTCAGCCTTGTAGAAATAGAAATAAAAGACCTCAGCTCCAAATATGAGAAAGGAAAATGGTAAGCAATGTGAAGTATCAACTTGGCAGTGAACTTGATATTATAAATAGTTTCCTTTCTTACTCTTTGGAAAATCATTGGGGAATACACCTCAGGACCGTCTGTTCCCCTGGTGACAACAGTTGCTTCATTGTTTCATTAACTGCTAAATTCTTAAAGACACCCTTAACCCGGCAGTGTCCTTCCTCATTCTTCAAGGTCACTTCAGCTTCTGTGTCCTCGCAAGTCCCAGAGCTTTCCATCACCCCGCATTTACTTAACTAGTTTGAGAACTTTTCAATACCATTATGTATTTTACTTTGTTTTTATTTTTATCTCTGACATTTCCTTCCAGGGAACCTTGTTTAACATACATACTTCATACATACTTTGGTTAATTTACACAATCCAGGCTGCTTACATTTCCATGTTAAAAGCTTCTCCAGCCTGCTGCTTCCTGCTAAGACAAGCCCAGGCTCTCCAGAGTTGCATCAATAGGAGTGAAGATCTCAGAAAGCACACTTTGTTTCCTTTCTGCCCTCAGAACTGGGCTTCCCCACAACATACCCCCTAGTAGATACTGTAGCTGCTGCTACACATGAGTTTAAAATGTAGAAGGATGTTGCCAACTCGTCTTTCATCATCCTCTGCATCAGCATCCTTATCTAGCTGTGCTCTTCACACCAACCTCCTGGCGTCTGTCATCTGCTGGGGCCCCGCAGCACTCTGGCCTCTGGATCTCCTAATTTACCATTTATAACTTTCTTGGAGAGAGTCTGGATTTAAGTTTGAGTAATTGCAAAACTCAAAGATAACAGAGAGTGATGTCAGCATCATGGTGGAGTGAGTTCTCCCAGCGATCTCTCCCCTCCACCATAGAATGAAAAAGACCTTCATACTCCAACAGAGGACATCCACATAACACAAAAGATGTCCAAGAGACCCACACAGCCACAGCTTGGAGGGCAGAGAGGCTGGAGACCCCCTCAGAGGAGGTAGAACACGGTAAGAGAAGACTTCACTCCCTCCCCAAAGACTGCAATCTGGGACCGGTCAGCTTCTGAGAGTGAAAGAAGGGGGGAGGGGATGCCCGTTTGCAGAAACATCCAAGATCCCCAAGGTCCCTCACAGCTTAGGGGAAAACTCCTACAGAGGTGAAAGCTAACTCAGGGTGACCTCATCAAGCCCACACCTCAGGAGAGCAGATAGCAAGGGCAGAGCAAGAAAACCCCAAGAGCACGCAGGAGAAAGTGCCTCTCTCCCAACCCACCCTGCTCTATACCAGCCCCAGTGCCTGGGATCCTGGCAGAAGGCAGAGGCCTCGGAATATGGGGCTCTTGACCCCCACCCAGTGGTGATAGGTGGGAACTGCAACCAAATAATACTAGGATGTGAAAGAACAAAATCATGCCCTCTAGCTGTATCAAAAATTACATTATTATGTTAAATCTCCAGAGTAGATAGAAAATGACAAGTACCCAGAATTCAGTCCTGAGGACGCAGAAATATATAATCTAAATGACAGGGAATTCAAAATGACTATCATCAAAAGACTCAATGAATTATAAGAGAATGTAGAGAAACAATTCAATGAGTTCAGGAGCTACTTCACAAAAGAGATTGAAACTCTACAGAAGAATTAATCAGAAATATTGGAGATGAAAGACACAATGGATGAGATAAAACAAAATATGGATTCTCTGAACGCTCGAGCAGACATCATAGAGGACCGAAGCAGCATAATCGAGGATAGACATGTTGAAATGCTCCAGATAGAGGAGGAGAGAGACCTAAGACTAAAAATAAATGAAGAAAGTCTCCAAGAAGTATCTGACTCGGTTAGGAAATGAAACATAAGAATTATAGGTATTACAGAAGGAGAAGAGAAGGAGAATGGAGCAGAAAGGGAAAACAGGATCGAAACAAAAAGACAACCCACCAATTGGGAGAAAATATTTGCAAATCATATATCCAACAAGGGGTTAATCTCCATAATATATAAGGAACTCACACAACTGAACAAGAGAAAAACAAACAGCCCAATCAAAAAATCGGAAGAGGATATCAACAGACATTTTTCCAAAGAAGATATACAGATGGCCAATAAGCACATAAAAAGATATTTAACATCACTAGTCATCAGGGAAATGCAAATCAAAATTACACTAAGATACCACCTTACACCTGTTAAAATGGCTATAATCACTAAGACTAAAAAGAACAAATGTTGGAGAGGGTCTGGAGAAAAGGGAACCCTCGTTTACTGCTGGTGGGAATGCAAACTGGTGCAGCCACTATGGAAAACAGTATGGAGATTCCTCAAAAAACTAAAAATAGAAATACCATATGACCCAGATATCCCACTACTGGGTATTTATCCAAACAACTTGAAATCAACAATCCAAAGTAACATATGCACCCCTATGTTCATTGCAGCACTATTCACAATAGCCAAGACCTGGAAACAATCCAAGTGCCCATCGACTGATGATCAGATAAAGAAGATGTGGTATATATATACCATGGAATACTACTGAGCCAGAAAAAAAGACATTCATCCCATTTGCAACAACATGGTTGGACCTGGAGGGTATTACGCTAAGTGAAATAAGCCAGACCGAGAAAGACAAACACCATATGATTTCACTCATATGTAGAATAAAAACAAACACATGGACAAAGAAAACAGTTCAGGGGTTACCAAGGGAAGAGGGGTGGGAAGTGGGCACAGGGGGTGAAGGGGAGCACTTCTGTGGTGACAGACAAGAAATAACGTACAACTGAAATTTTACAATGATGTAAACTATTGTAAACTCAATAAGAAATAAAGTAAGAGAAATGCGATTCTTTCAAAAACATTTCATAATTCAGTTTTACGAATTTAGACAGATTCCTTCCCCACCCTGAATTCTGAATGAATACATTTTGTTGAGTTGTAGGTGCCTGAATCATGTGTTCTTAGGGAATGTCTTATTCTAGAGTCCACTGGATGGAAAGGTTGGCTTTCCTTACGTTTTGTCTTCAAATTTTCATTTAGTTTGCAATTGGATACATTCTGACAGCCCCATATGAAGAATAGGTCTAAGAGTTTCTTAACCTGAACATGTACAGAACGTTCCACTTTCAAGTGGAGTTTTTAGAAAGGGAGCAGTAAGGACCGATTATGAAGTAGGCCCTTAGCTTCCTGCAATTAATTCCTTGTGACTTTCTCCCTGCTTCAGTTTTTGTTCATATCGCTCACAAGAATTTTAGCAACCTTCCTTTCTGAAGGAATTTTGCTCCCCCAGCTAGTAGATGGGTAGCTCAAAAGTGCATATACACAAGGTGGATTTCCATGAAGCCATAAACTTTCCATAAAGGAAACTTCAGCTCCAGGGCCCCTCACCTGCACAGCCCCTACCAGGACCCACAGAGTCAGGCCTAACTTTACATTCATAATTTGTATTATTTTTCTTAAAGACGGCCCTCAAAAGCTTAGGCTCCACAAAATGTGGGTCTGCCCCTGCTTCCATAATTTTGTACCTATGGGTTGAGGACCAAATTATCTCCAACACGGACATTTCCACTCAACTCCAGCACCCAGGGTTCACCTGCCTTCTTTCCCTTCCATTGCATGACACAAGGGTGCCTCAGTTGCAGTCAATACTGAACCCAGCATTGTCCCCAACCCCCCAGAATCCTGCCTCCCCAGCCTGATCCTCTTCCGGCTCTCACGTGGATGAATGTCTCCACTGTGTACTGGGTTAGTGCTCTCAGCTAGAGAGAGATCCCAGTTCCCTCAACTGTCTTCCCCAGTCTAGCTGCCCAGCCTCTAGCCCTGCTCCACCCCTGAGCCCCAAGGTTTCCCTTCTGCTCCCTCCCACAGACTCCTCCTAGCTTCCCTCATCCAGCATCTCCCCTTTCCAGTTTCCATATTTTGCCAGAGTGCTCCTTCAAAAATCTGGTCACTTTTTAACCCCCAGTTCTGTTGTTTGCCTGCCCGCCAGCTCTGCCTTCAGGATGAAATCCACATTCTTCCCCAAGATGGACAAGATCCTTCCTGACTGCTCTCTGCCCTTTCTTCTGGGCTTACCTTTCATCCCCAACTCAGAACCTGTCCTCTTCATGCGACTCCGATGAGGATACAGTTCTCTGCCTGTGACCCTCCTCTCCCACGCATACTTCTTTGCCCAGATAACTCCTTCAAGATTCAGCTTTGGCATTATCTCTTTCAGGAAGCTTTTATAGATGAAATCCTCCAGTATACGTGACTTTCCTTCCTGCTGGCCAACACTGTGTGTTTTCTTGTCTGTCTCCTAAAGTAAGGAAGCTATGGATTCTTTGTCTCTTATCTCTTCGATTCTTTCCTACTTCAGTGTCTGGTCCATAGCAGCTGGTCAACAAAGAATTGCATAAATAATATCTGAAGCGGTGGAGAGGGGAGTGGTATGGAATAGCCAGTATGTCTCATTCATCCGAACACACAGCTCTTCCTCCTCCCATTGCACAGATTGTGTTAGACCACAGATTAAATCACATCTTATGGTTCATACATCCAAACCTGTGTGGTTGATACTGTTATCTATGATGCAGGATGTGGAATTTCCATCCTCGTATCTAACCCCCACACACTATGAATTCAGCATTGGCCTTGTCCACAAGTCATCAAATTGAACAGTGGATACTTTTTAATTATGTGCTAGGAATCGATGTTAAGCTGGCACTGTGAGGTTACATAAGGAAGAAAATGGACGGAGACCATTCCTGGGAACCAAAACTTTATAACCTGGTTAAGGAGGTGAAACCACAGGCGTTTTAGCTAAGACAACATAGAAGAAAATGAGACTGAAAATGCTGAGAATCCAGCAGAAAGGAATGCCAGCCAGGGCTAGAGTAACTCACAGCTTTGAAGATGAGGATTTGAGTTGGCCCCGAAGGCATAAGGATGTAAGGCTTCAAAGATAACTATAATGTAGGAACAGAAGGAGAAGTAAGGAGGTAAGAGTCAGTGAGGTGGGAGGGATCCAGGGAAGAAGACTGTCTCATAGGAACTAAAAGAGAATTTCAGGAAAGAATGGGTGTGGTAGATGAAATGTGGCACTAAATTCTTTGTCCTTCATCCCTTCTAGAGATGAGGCCATTTCTACACCGCTGGAGTCTGGGCTGGCCTTGGGACTTGTGCTGAAGAGCGAAAGTGGTGGAAGTGGCGTAGCGTGACTTCCCCATGGTTAGCCAGCACCTATTGCCACAAGGTGAGTGAGGCTCTCTCAGACCTTCCAGACCAACCACTCCTCCTGCCGACGGTGCCACATGAGCAAGTCCAGGTGAAATGAGCAGAAGCAGCACCCGAGAAACCATAGAATCAGGAGAAATAGTAAATTGTTGTTATTTTAAGCCACGACTTTTTGGAATGGTTTGTTATACCTCAACGGGCAACCAATGTGAACAAGCTACAGGGAAGGAGGAAAATGAAGGATGACCAAGAGATTTGGAAGTTGTCAGTGTCCTGACATCTCAGTTCTGGAAAAGGCCCGAATCTGCCACAGATGCTTCCAGTTACAGACAACTGCACTGAGTTATCAAGGTCTGAGGCTGTTAATTATTTGACTCGTGTATTTGTATTTGATAGTCTTGTTCAGATTCTTGCTCTCCAAGAATCCCAATCATTTGGTTTCAATTTTCAAAGAGCCAGGCAGTGCGCTGGTCAGGACAAGGGTAGAGCTAGCCTTCCTGACAATTATACTTCTCTTCATAAATGAATAATTTTCATTTTCATTTAATTTTAAAAACAGGGCCTCTAGGGGGCTGGCCCGGTGGTGTAGTGGTTAAGTTTGCACGTTATGCTTTGGCAGCCTGGGGTTCATGGGTTTGGATGCTGGGTGTGGACCTACACACCATTCATCAAGCCATGCTGTGGTGACATCCCACATACAAAAGATAGAGGAAGATTGGCACAGTTGTTAGCTCAGGGCCAATCTTCCTCGCACACACACAAAACCCAGGGCCTTATCTGTATCAAAAATTAGCTCTAGAATTTGATATTTAACATACGGCTTAAATTAAGAGAAAAGTTTTTCTGCTTACTAAAGTGAAATGTTTTAAAAATGTAAGCCATTTAAAAGTATATAAATTATAAGGTGAAAATTGTCCACAGTCCTATTCGCTATACACCTTAGTGAACCAGGATTAACGGGTTGGTCTGTATAAATACATATGTGCACATCTGCCTACCATCAGTTTACCTAATCGGGTTTACTCTTCCTTCAGAGAAAAGCAGAAGAATCACTGTGCCCACACCTTCTGTAGCAACCACACATTTCTTTCTAGTGTATGGAAAGTAGTTTTAGAAGAAAGCCACAAACTGTAAATCTGTAGTTTCCTCTCATTATATTAAAACCCAAGAACCAGTGTCCTTCCATTTTCCAGTGTAACAATTTTTTTTTGGAGGAAGATTAGCCCTGAGTTAACATCTGCTGCCAATCCTCCTCTTTTTGCTGAGGAAGACTGGCCCTGAGCTAACATCTGTGCCCATCTTCCTCTGCTTTATACATGGGACGCCTGCCACAGCATGGCTTGTCAAGCAGTGCTTAGGTCCACACCCAGGATCTGAACCAGCAAACCTTGGGCCCCTGAAGCTGAATGTGCGTACTTAACCTCTGCTTCACCGGGCCGGCCCCTCCAGTGTAGCGATTTAATCCTAGGAAGAGGGAGCGGTTTCCCTCCTTCCTGCCCCCGTGCATCACGCCCTCTCCAGGCCACAGTGTCCACCCGGCAGAGCTGAGTTCTGCAACTGAGGGAAGAGGGGAGTGTTCTCGGCCCACTTCTAGGTCAGATTGCTTAAGCAGTCTCTCCATGTGAAATGTATTTAACCAGTTTTCTAGATGCCTGTTCCTAGAAGAAAGTCTTTATTTTCTTAAACTTACTTTGTGCCATATTTGGAATAACTGTAGACATTTAAGCCCAAGAGTTTTTCCAACAGTCTCAGCTTTAACAGGTAAAGAGATCTACACGTATGCTAGAGATGGAAGAGCTGGAGCCCATGGTTCTAGCGCAGGGTGAGCGCGACATTCCAGGACCCGCCCGAAACCCCAAACCAACCCCTGGTGTGCGGAAGCGCTTGGGAGATGGGAGGGCTGCTTCCGTCATCACTGAAGAGAGCTCTGAAGCTTCACTTGTTAGAAAGCACTGGTTATGCTGATTCCTTCACTAGTCACCCAAATTAAACACACGGCAGGGAAACTGGAATTATGCTTTGACATACAGTTCCACACCAAAGGGAATATCCGAAAATAAGTGCAGATATTATTATTTACTTGCATACAAAAGCTGCACTTTTGACCAGAGTGTTGTTCAGAGAGCAAAGCACGTAACACTTACGCTTTCGCCAGCTCCGTCGATATTTGTTCCAAAGAGCATCCCTTTGTCTGAGGTATAAACACAACAACAAAGGCCAGGGACGCCAGACTCATGATTGTATAGAAGAAGCACACCCACGGCAGACCAATGTGATCTGTCAAGGACAGAAGAAATTGATTAGAAACGCGCTATGCGTTGCTTTGATCCTGCCTGTGGACGGCCAATTCTTAGAACGTACATAAAAACATTGGTATTTTCAAACGCACGGGTAGGATCCAGGGAAATAGCAATTACAAATTAAAAATACACAAAGCCAGCCGCTGACAGTTTCATTTGTACAACCTATGCCAGCTTTCTCTGATAAAGTCGACAGCAGTCTTGCAAGTACACGATTTAAACCCAGTGGCATCTTCTTGGGAAGCACGCTTTTCTTTTCAAAATGGCAATACATGCGCTCATGGCGAAAGAGACTGCACTGAAACCTAGAAAGCAGAAGGTAAAGAATCTCTTCTCACCCTCCGCCATTCCTCTCTTGGAGCAGCGTGGTTTCTACTTGGTGGACGTTTTTAAAGACATATTTATACAGATGGACTTTTCTTCAAAGGAGCTCACCCTTCTTTACTCTAGTTTGAATAAGTCATTTCATATGAGCAATATTTCAGCATATCGGTAATACTTCTTCCCAGGTTCAGAGAAAAAAAAGTGATAATGGTTCTAGTGAATAGTTCTGCTTAACTTACTAAGATGCATCAGCAAGAAGCAGGATCCTCAAGGTTTTGATGGATCCCACCTGCCAGCCTAGTTTTGCCTCTGACCACTTCTAGCCAAAGGTATCATCCCTTTGTAGTTACAGGCCAAGGTCAAGGTCCGCTAACTGGTGAGAAATGGCCCCCAGCGCACTGGAGCCTGCCGTTTGCAAGGTGCTGCCCCCTGGCTCGGCAGCAGAAAGTCCAGTGTGGAGAAGAGTCAAGAGGAGCAAGCTGGCTTTTTCTGCACACGGCTCAGACCGACTGCGGCCTGTGCCAGTGCAGACGGCCCTCCCCAGCTGCATCCACAATCACGATGGGTCGGTCAGCACACTGGCCGAGCAGTTCTTAGTGAGGCAGCTTGGTGCATGAATGTGGCGGGCAAGGACCTCAACGTGTAACCACGATCAGCCGGTTGTGCTGAGCTGGGAGAAGCAGGAAGAGGATTGCGCCTCCGCTGGCAGTTTTGACTAGAGTCCGGTCCTCAGGGCTCTTCTTGCTGCTGGCTCACGGTTTTGCCCAAATGAATGTTTAATACAGTGCTTGTATTCTTCCCTCTCTGGAGCATGAAACCAGAATGTAGACAGTGAAAAAAACCATACAGGGCCTCTCATCAAACTTGTCCCCTGCTCTGTCTGAGCACTTTCAATGATAGGGAGCTTACCACTTTGCAAAGCTTCTCGCTGCGTTGTGAGCCAGCTCTGCCTGTTCTAAAGGGATTCCTGACGGATTCCGAAGTCCAAGTCCACCCTTCAGGACCTGCTGCTCAGAGGTTCTGCCTGGTCCCCTGGACCAGCTCTCCCCTGCCATCTCCATGACAGTCGCACAGGTGTCTGCATCTCCTCTGTCCCTTCCCTCAGCCTCCCCTCTCCGAGCCTAACGTCCTGAACTCACTCTGTCCTTCACAGGCTGCAGGTCACATGCCCGTGTCATCCATATGGCCCTCCCTCGGTGGACACACGGCAACCCTCTTAACATGTTTAAAGAACCCTTTTAAAATATCTTGCTCAGAGCAGAGCACAGTCCTGCAGCTGTGTCATGACCATGCAGAGTGAGCTTTTCCTCCAGAACACTCCGCTTTTATTGATACAGCTGAAGTTGCAATACAGGACTTGGCTCCCAGGGCTTGCGGCCAAGCAGAACCCTTGCATTCTTTACTTGGAAAATTGATTTTTGAAAATAAGTATAGAATTTCAAACTTAGTCCAATGAAACGTCATCTACAGGTTTGAGACCATTCCAGGTTTTCTTTTTAAGCAGATATGCTTTCCCAACATCTGTTTAAGAGCCAGTGCGGGAGAGCTTCTGAATCTTCGTTAGCTCATCCTACACGTTAGCCATCCTTGCCAGAGGTGTGTGTCTTTTTCATCCCTCATCATTTCCGTTCTTTCTTTTATAGTTCTCTTTCTCCACACCAAACAGCAGGTAAGAGGGGTGTGTGTGTGTGTGTGTGTGTGTGTGTGTGTGTGAATGTGGAGGGCACACGTCCATGTATGTGATCAGAGTAGGAGAGGTGTGGGATATAAACATTTGAAAATTTTATGTAAAAACCCAAATCATACTTAATCAATAACCCCAAAAGTTAATTTCCAAAAGTATATGTACTAGAAAAAAGGGGGCTGACAAGATTCAGAAGTACTATATATAGATACGTACTTTTTTTTTTTTTAAAGATTGGCACCTGGCCTAACAACTGTTGCCAATCTTTTTGTTTTGCTTTATCTCCCCAACCCGCCCCCCCCAACCCCGTACATAGTTGTATATCTTAGTTGCAGGTCCTTCTAGTTGTGGGACGTGGGATGCCGCCTCAATGTGGCCTGACAAGCGGCGCCATGTCCGCGCCCGGGATCCGAACCCTGGGCCGCCGCAGCGGAGCGCGCGAACTTAACCACTCGGCCGTGGAGCCGGCCCCAGATACATACTTTCTTGAGTATACATCAACTTTTGAAAATTTGTATGTTATATATATTATTTAATATTTATATATTATATATATAAACAAGGAAAGAATGAAAACTCAAGTCATTGGTCAATTTTGGAAGTTGCTGGGAGCCATCTCATTATTTTGAAAGCTAGAAAATAAAGAGAAAGTTTCAAGTATTTATCTCCCCTTTCTTAAATGATTCATATTTCAAGACAGGCAAATTAAGTTTCTCCTTCGAGGAGTAGCGCTTAGGCAAACGTAGAAGGAACGACAGAATGGAAACAGCGGGTCTGGGCAAAGATTCCCCAAGGAAGCAACACGACAAAGTGGGAGACAAGTGACGGGACGAGCCTCTGGGGGCAGGACACACGCCAGCACCTGTGAAACCAACCAGAAAATCTGAAACCCTCCAGCCTCTGGATCTAAGTGGCAGTTTGCAGGAAACACAGGGGACAGGAGTCGTGAGATAGGACCACACTCGGGAAAACCCTGCCAGGGGAGAATTATGGGAAAAATGACCCAGTTTCTTCATTAAAAAGATAGTGTGGAGAGGAGGGGGAGAAATGGAGATGAAACCCACCAATTATAAGGCCCGTATTAATCAATTGTAAATTGTGTATTTGGATCATGATTCAAAGTATAAAAAATAATTGTAAGACAATTGGAAGAATGTGAACACAGACTGGCTACGTGATACCAAGGGATTATGATTAATATTTTTAGGTGTTAATATTGTGATTATAGCTTTTAAATGCCTGATCTTTTAGAGGTCCATGTTGAAATTTTATAGACAAAACAGCATGATGTCTGAGATGTGACTCAAAGCAATATGCTCGAAAAGAGTAAGTGGGCTTACAAATGAGTGAAGGTGGAGAACTGCTGAAGTTGGGTGGTCGGCACGTCAGATTCCTTGCCCTTCTCTTTACTTTCGAATGTGTTTGAAAAGGTCCACAATGCAACATCTTTTAGGTGAGTGTGCTTTCCTGACAGTTGCCCTGCGAGCACAAAGGCACTAGAGGAAAATAATGATTTCTTACCCGTCACAGTCAAAAATGTCAGAGAGATGAGGAGGTTGATGCCCCAGTTCATGATGGAAGTTAAGGCAATGGCTCGTCCGCGAATTCCACCAGGAAAAATCTCGCTCAGCAGCAGCCAGGGCACTAGGAGAAAGCAAAGGCGGGGAGGGGGACGGCAAAATTATCAAAAGCCCATTGGAACCGAGGGCCAGCCCGCGGATCCTGCCCTGGTCCTGCGTGGTCTGTGGTTGGAGAGCTGAGCAGGTCCTTCCTTGGCAGAAGAGAGAACGGATGTCCCTTCTCCTCACCTTCAGCCAAGTGAGAAAGGGTCCAGGAGAAACACTGAGAGCCTTGACAATCGTCCCTGGAGGTACAGGGAGGGTCATACAGCGCTGGTATGTGACACAGGCCTGAGAAATGCAAATGGGAGGGGCAGCGGCTGGGGCCACCCGCCAGAGAGGCAGCTTTGGACATCTGCCAAGCACAGAGCCTCGGTGCCAGACCCCGGCTCTACCTGCTCGACGTCCGGGCCCTTTCCTGTCATCTCCTTTGCCACTGACCTTGGAGAAGTCCAGCATCACAACTAAGGAGTGGGTAGGAAATAGAGCTGGGAGGCCGGGAGGAAGGAAGCCCGCTCCTGTCACTTCTCCCACTTGGGTTTCCCAGCCTGGGGCAAGCTGGGTAGAGAGAAGCTCTAAATTAAATAGAGCTTCAAGATTTGATTATTAAACTAGACTAAACATTTGAATTTCTGAAAGGAGACTCTTCTTGGCACGAAAACTGATCAGAGGACTTTTCACTAACTGAGAGTGACAGGGAACATTATAGGACATGCCTGGTGGGACTAGAAAGGGCAGGAGACAGGCGAGTTAACTTACCTCGTGCTCACAGCCCTCAGACCAAGTTTGCCTAATAAAAGAGCTGCGAGTTCTTACGTGGACTGAGCCCTTTACAAACTTTATCTCCTTTAATCACAAAATCCTACAAGACAGGAACTGTTACTCTTGTCTTTCCTAGAAGAAGAAACTGAGGCTTAAGGAGTTAATAATTTGCCAAGGTCACAGAGCTCCTAAGTGGCCAGAGATGGCACTGAGCCCTGGCAGTCAGGCTCCGGAACTCATGCTTTTTAATCACGGTGTGCTCTTGGTGGTGGCTCAATAAATATTTGTTAATGAGTAAATAAATGTGTGGTAGAAGGACCTTTGATTCTGAGGAAAGAAGGAGTTAGGAGCTGCCCCAACCCCAGCTCCCTGCTGACAAAGTCACCTTGTATTGGAGAGCCAGCATTTATAGACCAACCAGCTGCGTTGTCCTGGTGCACAGGAGACCATGGTGGGTAAGAAGCAAGAAGCCAGGGAGGTGGGGCTGGCCCCGTGGCCGAGTGGTTAAGTTCGCGCGCTCCGCTGCAGGCGGCCCAGTGTTTCGTCGGTTCGAATCCTGGGCGCGGACATGGCACTGCTCGACGGACCACGCTGAGGCAGCGTCCCACATGCCACAACTAGAGGAACTCACAACGAAGAATACACAACTATGTACCGGGGGGCTTTGGGGAGAAAAAGGAAAAAAATAAAATCTTTAAAAAAAAAAAAAAAAAAAAAGAAGCCAGGGAGGTGCCCCACTCATCAGCAACCACTTGGGCCGCATATTCAAGAATCAAACAGGGGCCAGCCTGGTGGCGCAGCAGTTAAGTGCACATGTTCCGCTTGGGCCACCCAGGGTCCGCTGTTCACGTCCCGGGTGTGGACCTACGCACTGCTTGTCAAGCCATGCTGTGGCAGGCATCCCACATATAAGGTAGAGGAAGATGGGCACAGGTGTTAGCTCAGGGCCAGTCTTCCTCAGCAAAAAGAGGAGGATTGGCAGCTGATGTTAGCTCAGGGCTAATCTTCCTCAAAAAAAGAAGAGAATCAAACAGCCAGCTATGTTTCTAATTTAACGGCTTGGTTCTCAAGACAAGAAGATACTCTGTACAGAAAACATCTGCTTGTTGTAAATTTGCTGTTTTAAAGTAAGAAAAAGTAATTTAATTACAGAAGAGAGCTAGAAAAAAGTTTCTTTTTCTTGACTATCTTCTCCAAGTGAATCTATATAGGGTTACTTTTTGGGCATGGAAGATAATGCAACAAAAGAAACATGATTGTTATTGTTCTAAGTAATAGGGAATTCACAAATAAAATTGCATGTCCCTCCCCCGCCCACCTCAAAAGACTTTCACTAGTTTCTTGAAGATTATATCCTTGGTGGGGTCCCTTTGCTCTCAATGAGGCCAGTGCAATACCCAGGTAACCTTGTCTTGAGCTTTGCAAGACTGGGATCTGGCTCTGAGTAGAGCGACGGCTGTCTAATTCTGGTGAAGCTTTTGTAATGACCTGCCCTTGGACAAATACAAGATAAATTTTGTGAATCCAATTTTTTGAGGCTAAATAATCTATGCCACAGACCAGTCCTCCCGTGGCCCTTCCCGCCATGGGCATTTGAAATGGGTTGGGGTGGAGCAGAGGGTTCCATGTGGCCTTTTGCTCTGGTGGCCATGAGGAGGGGGTGGGGGAAGGGACATTCTTTCATTTTCTTTTTGTAGAGGGGTTAGCACAGGTTGTCTTGATCTACTTCCGTCCCCGAGTCATTACCTCGGAAACCCCTCCCCCCTCCTCACCTTGCTACCTTTCATCATGATGGCCTCTTGGAATTATTTGGTGGGATTTGGGGAGTATCATCGCTGGGGTCATCAGAGCCATGTTGGCCTCAGATGAGAACGAGTGGCTCCGGCTGTCATAGAAAGTGGTGGATTTTGCCAGCGAGAAGATGGGACAGTCACACAAAGCACAGTTATACGTGCTCGGTCTGAACTGTCAAGGGTTTGGCTAAAGGATCCCAGGATCCACACTGAAAGCCTGTGCTAGGCAAGCATTCAATTCAGCAGCCGAGCGAGCCCTCAGGCGGTTTAGCCAGTCAGCGAGCAATGAACTGAGTACTGAAAAAGACACTGCCCTCAGTCTCTGATGAGAACTTGGTGTCAGGGAAACCCTACATCTGATGTTTCCAAAACTAATGTATCATTGCCAAAAGCTTCTCTTCTTTTTTGATCTAATGGAAAGAATTCAAGAATTGGTGCCTTGGTTTATCTAATATTGACAAACTGGATGTTGCAGCAATTGACAAGTGTTTTGACAAGGATGGTTCAACCTCCCAATCTGGAACCTGTCAGTTCAAAAATAAGGAGAATATCATTTTAACAAGGATTTCAGAACCATAAAATCACAGGTTTTCAGGTCCAGAGAGAGTGAAATAAAAATCTGAAAATGGTGCTTGCAGCAAAATGGAATTTGCTGAGAGGGTAAAACTCTCTCTCCCCTTGCCTGACTTAGGAGCAAAATGATGCCAGAATCTACCAGCCTCCATGTTCCCTGGAAAGAAGCTGTGAGTGCCCAAAGCAGGAGGAATGAAACAGCTCTATTCCAGTTTATAAGTAAAGAGGACAGAGATACAAACCATCACATGGGGGTTTAATATGTTGATGTTTATAATGACAGGTGGAAGTTTTCTTAAAATCACTGATTTTTTAATGAGAGGGCCTAATTTCTCTCCCAAGGAAAATCAAGTTATCACTATAAGCCACAGTGAAGAAGTGGTGGCTCTCTCTGGGTGTCCTTGTTATGCCCCACCCTGATGATAGAGCCATAGGGGATGCTTCATGCTGTTTGCTTGTGAGGAATCCACAGGGTGTTCAGAGATGCAGTGAACGCTTCTACAGTGAGCACAGCTGCTGCAGTTTCCAGGCTCTGAGACAATTCTCCCGGACCTCTGTTATTCCACCCCAACCCCATCATTCCAGGGCTAAGTCAGAGCGACATGTGCTTCTGTAAATGTCAGAGTCTGCACATGTCTTTAAGGTCTTCTCTATGCTGCATGGACTGAGGAAATTTTGGCCTTGCTGGGAGATCACTGTCCACACCTGCTGGAACTTGTATTTCCCACAGTATTAAATCACCAGGGCTGTCTGTCAGAACTTGCCTGACCCAGATGAAATCTGCAGATAGTGTTCATGGCGGCACAGAGAGTCATGACAAGACCGTGAAGGACAAATGCTGAAGTGTATCTGGGTGCAGTGGACTTGGATTAATAGAGGCAATCAATGGAAATGTCTCAGCCCTACCGCGTGGACACTGCCATGCCTGTCTCCTGCCCCCTCCCTGTTTCTGCCGCTGCCACACGTTTTCCCACTGGAGCTGTCATTTAACTCCCTTTGCTGTTGGATTTAAACCCTGCGCCTCTCCAGGCACACTTTCCATTTGACGAGCTCTTCCTGAACCACCTAACATGCTAGCCCCAGGGTTGAGAGACTCATGGAGATCTTGAAACTCTTACCAGAGAATTCCTGGCAGCTCTGGAGGAGGTCAACAGGCGGGCCACAGAGTTTTCACCACTTGATCTGCCGAGGAGCCATGCCCTATACTTTGTAGGATTCCTATGGCTTTTCTTGCCTTTGCAAGCAGCTCCAGCACCCTAGCTCTCTGACCACAAGGGAGTACTTTGTGTGAATTCAAGAGGGAAATATGCCCATTTCCTTCCAACCAGTTGTTTAAATCCTGACCTCATAATTTCCCTAAATGGGAAAATTTTGTTCTTTAAAAAATACACTCCACCATAAGCCACCATTTCCAACATCAGTAATGATGTGGTGGCTCTCATATTTTTATTTTTTGTGTTCTCTCTTCTCTCGGTTTCTCTGAGTTTTGCTCACTCGTGTCCTCTTCTAAAATAAATGCTTTATTGAAGAATGCAGTCATGCCCCCCTTATCCACGGCAGATATGTACTAAGACCCCCAGTGGATGCCCGAAACCGTGGATAGTACCGAACCCCATGGTCTATGTTTTTACTATATAAGCGTACCTATGTCAATAAAGTTTAATAAGTCATTTATGCACAGTAAGAGATTAACAACAATAATTAATAATAGAATATGACAACATACAGTGATGAAAGTTATGTGAATGTGGTCTCTCTCAACAGCTCTTCTTGTACTCTCCTCACCTTCTTCCTGTGATGACGTGAGATGACACAGCGCCTATGTGATGAGAGGAAAGGGGGAACGATGTAGACATTGGGACCCAGGCTTGGGCTACTGTGGACCTTATGCTTCTAGCTTAGAAGGAGGAGCACCGGCCTCCAGGATGGCAGCTGACCTCGGGTGACTGAAACTGTGGAAAGTGAAACTATAGATACAGGGGCACTACTGTATTATCTTGGATTAGTTACGTAACAAACCAAGAAGAGCAATGAAATAAAGCTTCCACGCTCCCCAATCTTTCTATCTTAATGATTTCTAATCAAAACCAACTGAAATGACTTTTTAAAAATGTTTTAGGAGAAATTGGACGAAATGGAATAACCCTCAGTAAAAAATGCCAGAGTTAAAAATGGACCCCTTTTGTGAGGTGGTACCCAATGGGAATAAGAGAGAACTATGGCGTGGTGTTCAAACTTTCTCGCTTGTGTAGCCTTTAAATTAAGTTGAAAAACTAAGTACTTTGTTCCATTTATAAGTCAAAATCTAACATTTGTTTCACCGTAAATTTAAATGATAGCAAAGAATGCAATTTCTATTGTATTATAAACTCTAACATTTAAAATAGAACACATCACTTTTAAATATTTCCAGTGAAATTTTAATGCCTTTCTTATTTGATACTCGTCATCATCCATTTAAAAAATATAAGAATAACGTATTTAACATAAATGTCATAGTTTCTTTTTCACCTTGAACTTAGTACTTTATCCTACTGTAATGCGTTTTTAGGCTGGAAAGTCTTTTATTGATCACTGTATCATACTGCTCTGAAAAAAAATGACCTTAAATTGAAATTTTAGGTTTCTTTTTATTTCTGCTAAGAGCTTCAAAGTATTTTTTCTCCTTGAAGTTATTAACACAATAATTAATACAAAATAGATCAAAATTATAGAAATATGTTACAAATTTTTAGAAATAAGTATTAAATATGAAAAGTGAAATTTATTGGAAATATTCCTCTTCATGGATGGTGAGTTTTTCCTATATTATGTACCTGTGGGTGAATGTCTCTTCCTTCTAGAATAACATGATACATTTCTACCCTTTAAAGAGATGAAATTTATTGTTCTTAAGAATAATGAAAATAGATGGGGAGTCGAAGAAATTTTATAATAGCAATGTCACTCAATTCTTTGAATTAACAAGTTGTTTGTAATAATGTGTCAGCTGATAAGTTGATGAGATCTTCCTTTAGTTTTGTTGAAAGGAAATTATTGGGACTATCTAGGCTTATGAAAGGATTATTATCTTGTCATTAGAGTCATTTCCCACACCATGCCCACACCAGGATTCCTGACATTCTTTCAGTTACCTGAGTGTTCTGGAGGTTTTTGTACTTTGGGACATGTGTCATAGTAAGTTTTTTTGATGGGTAATAGGTGTGCTTTCTTTTCAGTGGAAAAACAATTACCACTGGGGAGATAGGGAAGAAGAAATTTTGGGAAATGGATTTTTCCTAAAAATCAAGAAATTGATTTCCTTTGACATATCATTGAAGGAGTACTCTGGAAAGCAAAGCCCGGGAGTATGCATGTCCCTATCTGCAGACCACTGAACTGAAGTTCAAAATGAAAAACAAAAAAAAGAAAGGAGCTACAAGAAATTCATTTTTTCTGGTTTAAGCTTGGCTTGAGCGTTATGTTTCAGATGTATTATTTTGTGTCGTGCTTTCTTCATGACTGATCCTTTGGGTGTCAGTCAGAAAAGTATTAGAGGTTTTAATGTTGCAAATGTCTGTTTCTTTAATTCATAGTTTTCCAGGGATCGGACTGTGACTGTAGTGCTGGGCTGAGAGGAGAGTTAAACACCGACACACAGTTGTGACGTCATGGAATCGATGGTGTCGTTTCACTGTGTGTTTAGCTGTGCTCACGCTACAAGATTGCACTTGGAGACTCTGGCTGGATACCACTTCTCCATCGTCTAACTAACTCCAAAGAGGAAAACGGGATTTAATTAACTAAAGGCACATATTTCTGTAACATTTTTCCTCTTTTGCTTGGATGCAAATTTAGTATGAAGCTGTTCCGATACTATTTTCAATTTACTTTGCATTATTTTAATGATTAACACCAGAAGACCAAATAATTCACCACTTTAATCCATCAAAATGACCTATAACTTAATTAATTGGAAAAAAGGAGCAGTATTGGTGTGAATATTGGTGATAATTGAAACTTAAGATTTAAAAGAAAAAAAAAAGATTTGAAAGATCTTAAAGGTAGACACACTTAACACAAACCCGTTGTATGACTATGATTTATAATGGCTATATTTGATAATAAAGCTCTCCTGTTTAAAGAATAATAATTTATGCAATATGCCTTGATTCTCTAAAGCTATATGATTATCCTGCAAAAATGTTGGGAAAGGAAGATGATCACTAAAAAAGCCTTTGACCGGGATGGTTCTGAATATTAGGGCCCTGAGTCTAGGAGGAAATATGAAGACTATCAAAATCTCTTTGAAATATTTGATTTCCTTCTGGTCTGTAAGCCTGTCTCTTCTAAACCCAGGATAATTTGGAGTGAAGCAGCTAAGTAAACTTCCAAATTAAAACCTGCTGTTCCACATCCCTGGAATTGTCATAATCCTTAGCTGTGCAAACATCGTATGAACACCTTATTTTTGAAGAGCTAGAGTTATTTAGGTATGAAATCTAAATTTAAATGTTATGGCAGATGAGTCTTATGCTTCCTACTGATACCCATCCTCCAAAAGGCTGGTTAAACTCCATAAAACCAAACCAAACAAAAGGCTAGGCTCTATAGTCTTTGAACTTTAAAAAATTTTAGTTTCTTGTTTAAAACACAAAGACGGTCTTTTTAGGATATTTGAGCTGAGAGACAGTTCTCCACGGGTCTCTCGCCTTCCTGTGTGTCTTGTGAGCAAAGGCGCTGACTGTCTTTGTTCCAGACTGTCTTTCCAGGCATGTATGTACAAGAACTGCCTTGGAAGACAGAGATGGGGTCTCCTCTGAGGCAAATGTTTGTCTACTATGCAGTAGATTAAAGATAATGTCTCTCTCCAGTGAAGAAATAGGCTGGCTTACTGTCTATTCTAAAAGATTTGGGTTCTCTAGGCTTGGAGTTCCTCTCTTCTACAATAACCCATTATCTGTGTAAGTGTCCTCTGGCCCTTCATGTTTCCCTGTGGATATCGGGGCTTGGAGAACTGACGCAAATGTCAATATTCTGGCTATTGCTATTGCTGTGAGTAACAAACTGTCCTTTGTCTCTGACCCAGGAGTCTTGTGTCTTTTGCCAACATCCATGATACTGTGACAAGCTAACTTGTTAGCTTGCAAGTGGGCTAAAATATCAGCCAGTTTATAGTTCTTGAGAGTTTGACTACTTGTTGCTATGATATGATTTTTCTGCAAAGATCTTGTATTGTTATTATTAACTTTGGACTGCCCATTCACATCTGACGGATTTAACAGGATTCTCAAGCCTGAGATAATCCACTGAAATATTTCTATAAGATCTAATGCTAATTAAGTAAACAAAAGCAACCCCAAAATTCCAGTTCAGATTTTCACTTATTTCTCTTAGGAAAACCACAAAAGAATTACCTCAAATCTCTTTTGTAAAGAGTCAAGTTTAAAAAAATTCAATTATTAAACCAAAGTAGGAATAATTATCCCATGATATAACTAATCGCAATTTTTTTTTTTTTAGGGGAAGAGCTGGGTCTCATATTTGGAGAAAACAATGGAAATTTGTAAATGAATGTTTTGTCTGATACCATAAATTTTTTTAAATGGCCTTAATTTTAGTAAATTTAAAACATCAACCTTCTTTAGTCATCAGATGAATTTGAGATGGCTCTGCATTCTCGATTGAGTTGCTTTATTCAGATATAATTTTGGTCAAATGTGCATGGGGTTCCACACAAACCATATTTATGTCTCATTCTCTAGATATTGACTCAGATTTGTACTAGAAGAGATCAGGATATATCAACCCCAGACTGAAGGACTCCCCTTTAATCACAGGAGAGAGTTCTAGAAACATCTCTTTTTTGGGGGAAGTTCTTGACTTATATAACAGATATTTATTGAGCCCCTTTTGTGGGCCAGGCCCTAGGCTAGGCTCAAGAATACAACAGCAGACAAGACAAAGTTTGTGTGCACCCAGGACATAGAGTCTAAATTGGCTGCACCAGTTTAGAAGAGTGGACATTTGAGTGTTTCTCAGCCTACATCACACCCCTCACCTTTCACTAAAGCCCCAGGATTTTCTGTGAAGCCTGTCAGGTTTCCTAGGAAGCTCTCTTGACTGTAGGCAATCCAGAATTGAACCATACTTCACAAATCTACTCTCTTTAGTGGTGACCCGACTAGAATGGTGTATAGAAGGGAGTAGAGGAGGACCCCAGCATCCCAATTCAGCACAGGACTATGGAGGGCTTCCTGGGTGTCCTCACCTGGCTGAGGCATAATGCCTGCTGAAGTCAGTGCTGGCATGATCAGAACCATTCATCTCACGTCTAGACCAGGACCAGACATTTAAGAGCACTAATCACCAAGTGTACAGAGTCCATGCTGTAGGCCAGGCACTGTAATAGGCACACTTTATACAGATGGCTTCACTCAACCTCTGTGAAGTCGACAGTGTGGTCCCATCTCCCCTATAAGGAAACGCACGCCTGGAGAAATTAACTGACTTGCCCCAAGTCCTACACCGTGGAGCAGGGATTCGAGGCCAGGCAGTCTGATGCCACAGCCTGGTCCGAATTCAAACCCTGCATTGTACGGCCTCAACAGACATTCTTGCTGTTCTTCTAAACCTTCAAGCTCACGTCCCCCTCAAGGCCACGTGATCCGCCGTTATTGCTGCTTAAAACTCCCCCCTCCCAGATCTTCACACTGCTTTCTTCCTACAAGCCTGGGCCAAATGTCACCACCCCAGAAAGGCCTTCTGTGGCCGTCCTACCTGGAATAACCCTCCTCCAACCGTGCTCTTTCACATCCTTCTTTATTACCCTTCCCTCCACCACCGTGTTAACACTTCTCCTCTGAGGTTGTAGTATGCATTATTCGTTTTCTGGCTTATTGCCCATCCTCAACACTAGCTCCATGGGGACGGGCTGTGGATCTGGCTTATCCATCCCTGAATATCAATAGCAATGCACACACGCTGGATGGGAGTGAGTCAGTGAATCACCTCCTCTTTCTCCCCCTCTTCTCTTCTTGGTCACTCCAGGATGCTTTCTTGCTGGAACTCCTGCCTATCTGGTAGAAGAGATTGGGGGCGGTGATTTGGTGTCACCTGTCATTCAGTCTTCAGTGAAAGGCTCCGCTTGAATGTGTGAGAACAAAGGTAGTTAAAGGATTACAGTCACAGCCTCATTACTGAACTTAACGAGTGACCTTGGACAAATTCCTTCTGTCTGCTCATCATGAAAAGATATTAATCACGAGATGGAAGAGGAGGTGAATTAATTAATTTATGGACACAGGAATTTGGGGATTAAAACAAAGCCCAAATAATTATTGTGAAAAGAATAGCCACACACATTTTTCTGAGTTACAGTGGCTATTTTAAGCAGAGCTGGGTTTGTACACAACTAACGCCTCAAATGAACTCATGAGAGAATAACTTTATGCCGTGGGTTTGGGCTCCTCTCTGCTTCACTTTTGAAGCATGAGTCAAAGAGAAATCTTCATGTGGCTCTCTGTCCTCAATGCCAGGAATCTTTGGTTCTACTCTGAAGCTTGAGCCATGACAGAAAAACGTTCAGCTATTCAAGGGAGCTAAAATGATGCCCAGAACCGCCCCAGAAACATATTGGAGGGTGAGGTTGAGATTCCAAACATATTTTAAAGTGAAGGATGAGGTATGGAAAACAGAACGTTTAGTCGAAGTCTCCAGTAGAAGCAGTGGAGTGTTTATCCTGATTATTTGACGGAAGAGCTCTAGTCTTAGTTACAGAGAAACAGAGGGAGAGGCTCTTAACTTCTTTTGGACCAGGAACCTCTTCAGCAGGCTGGTGAAGCCTGCGGATTCCTTCTTAGAATAATATTTTAAATGCATAAAATAAAATACATAAGATTACTTGGTACCAAATTTATGCCCTCTCCTGAATCCTAGATGCTAGAGTAACCCCCTTATTTTGCAATTAGAGAAACAGAAGACCAGAAGGCAAAACAATGCAGGACACACACTTTAACCTAAAAATAGAAACACTTTTCTGGCAGAAGTAAACCATGCTGGGATGTAATGTAATTAAGGAATTTTGTTCTAAGTCAACCTGTATTTAAGAAGTTTTAATAAGGAGGCTTAATCCTACTTCCAATTTTACTTTAGAACAGCAAGTACTTTTCCTTTATACCTCTGTTGACACAGGATTTGCTTCTATTACAAGGAATAAACTCTCTAATTGAAAGACCTGAGCGGTAATCACATCAGATTAATAAGTTTTATGATGCATTCAAGATCTGGTATGAGAACCTTTTTCCTACTAAAAACCTTCTTTAAATTCCGACTGGTTCACACAGTTGACACCAATGCCCTAGAATGCAGTCTTGGTAATCAAATTGGAATTCCTATGGTATGTTTTCTTTAGAAAAGAAAAATAAACTACAACATGAATATGGACATAAATGATTGACTCTCAGCAAGAAAGAAAAAGACAATTATTCAGATCCCTTCTGAAAATCCTAGGAGAATTGATAGCCTCAGACCATGGATGTGAAATGACTTCTTGTTCTCCTTAGAGAGGGCGGTTCGGGACTGGGTCTCAGACTGCGTGCCTCCCAGCCGCAGGTGTGAACCCAGCTCAGTCCTTGGAACTGCAATTATAAGTTGGAGAAACCAGGAGATGAAGGGTTATTTCCCTTTCCTGTGCCTAAATCTCTTTCAACCCTGAGATTCCCTGTCTCACTAGCATTGCTTTTGGTCTAAGAAACCTTGAAAGGACTCTCTTCTCCATGTTGTAGCAAAAACCAGAGGTGTCTAAAAAAAATCTGGGACTATTTTCAGACACTTTATGTCCAAAATTCCCACATAACTATGACTTAACAAAGAAAAGTCCTAACTGCCTCCCATTACCTGTTTCTGAGCATTAATAACTTCCCTGCCCCCTTTCCTACAGGCAAAACCAGAAAGAGAGCTTTAGAAATCACGTCCAAGTGATGGAATGTTCTGCAAAAAACCTCATGATGGTGTCTGGCAGGAAGAGGAGTTTCTGTGGCAGCCCGACGTTTCTAGTTCACTCGGTACTTAGCCTGCCCACTGGAGAGCTTGCCACGAGTGAAGAAGCACACTTTGGGATCTTTCCTGGATCTGCATCTT